GACTCAGAACAATTCCTTGTGATGTTCTATGAATTTTAATTCCAAGAATCACATCAGCTAGACCCATATCTTTCATGTCAAATCTAGAATTTAACATATCTTTTGTGGATTTAATAATTTTATCATTGCTTCCAACAATAAGCATGTCATCTACGTAAAGACATAGGATTACATAACCTTTTTCTGTGTATTTAACATAGATACATTTATCACATTCATTAATTTTAAATTCACTTTGAATCATGACATTATCAAACTTTTCATGCCATTGTTTTGGAGCTTGTTTTAAGCCATACAAAGACTTAACCAATTTACAAACTTTATTCTCTTGCCCTGGAGCAGAGAACCCTTCAGGTTGCTCCATATAAATTTCTTCTTCTAAATCTCCATTTAGAAAAGCTGTTTTTACATCCATTTGATGTATTTCAAGGTTTCGTAAAGCTGCAATTGCAATAATTACCCTGATGGATGTTATCCTCGTTACCGGAGAATATGTATCAAAGTAATCAAGGCCTTCTTTTTGCTTATAACCTTTAATTACAAGTCTAGCCTTATACTTATCAATTGTTCCATCAAGTTTCATTTTCTTTTTGAAAATCCACCTGTAGCCCAATGGTTTACTTCCAGGAGGAAGATCCACTAGCTCCCATGTGTGATTTTGCAAAATAGAATCCATTTCACTTTGGATTGCTTCTTTCTAAAGAGGTCCTTCAGAAGAATTTACAGCTTCTGAAAACGTTTGTGGTTCACTTTCAACCATATAGGTTAGAAAATCTGGACCAAAAGATTTTTCTATTTTACTTTTCCGAGGTTCTACTTCAACATATCCATCTTGATCCTTTTCCATTATTTCCATAATTTCTTTTAATGGAACTAGAATCCACTTCAGACTTACGTGGAAATATATGCTCAAAAAATGAAGCATTTCTAGATTCAAGTATCGTATTCTTATGAATTTCCTCAATTTTGGATTCATGTACAAGAAAACAATAAGCACTACTGTTGTGTGCATATCCAATAAATATGCAATCAACAGTTTTTGGTCCAATCTTTATTTTCTTTGGCGTAGGTATTGCTACCTTTGCCAGACACCCCCACACTCGCAAGTATTTGTAGGATGGTGGTCTTTCATGCCATAATTCATATGGACTTTTGTCTAACTTTTTACGGGGAACCTTATTTAAAAGGTAATTTGCTGACAACACAGCTTCCCCCCACATGTTCTGTGGAAGTCCAGAACTTAACAACATTGAATTCATCATTTCTTTTAAAGTACGATTTTTTCTCTCCGCAATCCCATTTTGTTGCGGTGAATAAGGTGCTGTCATTTCATGTCTTATCCCATGTTGGGCACAGAATTCAGCAAAAGGTGACTCATATTCACCTCCTCTGTCACTTCTTATCACCTTAATCTTTTTATTTAGCTGATTTTCAACTTCGTTTTTGTAGAGAATAAATTTCTCTATCACTTCATCCTTACTTTTGAGAAGATACACATAACAAAATTTAGTGCTATCATCTACAAAAGTAATGAAATATTTATTTCCACCACGTGTCGTGACAACTTTTAAATCACATATATCAGTGTGAATTAAATCAAGTGGTTCACTATTTCTTTCAATAGTTTGAAACGATAATCGTGTCAATTTTGCTTCAACACAAGTTTCACACTTATGTTTTGAATCAATATGGAACATAGGTATGCTTTACAATTTTATTAACCTGCGCAGGGTATTATAATTGACATGTCCCAGTCTACCATGCCACACAATGGAAGACTCAAGCATATAAACAGAAGAATTAACATTTTTATTAATTGTCATCACATTGAGCTTAAAAAGCCCATTACATTCATAACCCTTCCCTACAAATGCTCCATTTTTAGTCAAAATGACCTTATCAGATTCAAACACTACACGAAAACCATGTTTGATCAAGAAAGAACCAGACACTAGGTTCTTACGAATTTGCGGTACATAAAGAACATTATTAAGAGTCAATTCTTTTTCAGATGTCATTTTCAGTACCACTTTCCTCACTCCTTTGATGTCAGATGTGGCAGAATTTCCCATGAAAAGCTTTTCTCCATCCACAGTCTCGTCAAGGACATTAAACAATTCCTTGTTTGAGCAAACATGATGGGTAGCACCCGTGTCAATCCACCATTCATCTGGATTTGAGCCCACCAGATTCACCTCGGATATAACTGCAGCGAGGTGCATCTCATCAACATCTTTGGCCAGATTTTCTACCATGTGGGCTTCTTGATTTTTCTTTGGCAACCTACAATCAGATGCCTTATGGCCAGATTTATTATAATTATAACAATTTCCAGAAAATTTTTTCTTGAAAAATTGCTTCTTTGGCTCCATTATTGCTTTCCCATTATTGCCAACTTTTTTCTTATTATTTTTGTTTGAGCTTTCGCCATGCTCAACAACATTAGCCTTGGCCAAATAAGGGTTAACCATTTTGTTGTCGTAGCCCTTGTTGTCTTCTTCAATTCGAAGTCTAACAACATTAGCCTTGGCCAAATAAGGGTTAACCATTTTGTTTTCGTAGCCCTTGTTGTCTTCTTCAATTCGAAGTCTAACAACGAGCTCTTCAACAGTCATCTCTTTTTTCTTGTGCAATAAATAGTTTTTGAAATCTTTCCAGCTCGGTGGTAGCTTTGCAATTATGGCAGCCACCTGGAAAGTTTCATTTACAACCATTCCCTCGGAATGGATATCATGCAAGATTATTTGAAGCTCTTGCACTTGACTGATTACAGTCTTCGAGTCAACCATCTTGTAGTCCAGAAACCGACCTACAAGAAATTTCTTGGCTCCAACATCTTCGGTTTTATATTTTTTATCCATAGATTCCCACAGCTCTTTCGTTGTTTTGATAGAACTGTACACGTTGTACAGTGTATCAGCCAAGCAGTTCATCACATAATTTCTACACAAGAAATCCGAGTGATTCCATGCATCAAGCGCACTAACCGCTTGAATATCCAGATTTTCCCCCAACTTTGGTGGATTTTCCGTCAAGAACCTCGCAAGGTTCAACGTAGTGAGATAAAACAGCATCTTTTGCTGCCAGCGCTTGAAATTCAAGCCATTAAATTTTTCCGGTTTATCAGCATGATTTACCGGAACAGAAGGAGAAATAGAAATTGTAGTAGTACCACCAGTATTAGCAATGCCAATAGTATTTTGTTCAACAGTCATCTTTAATCGGAATTTGTTTTAAGATTGTAGGGAACTTTAACGGGATAATAAAAATAAGATGGCTATAATATATAATACCGAGGCCTGTGATAACACAGTGTCCTTAAAACAGATTCGCCCCGCATGAGCGTTTGTTTCCCAGGATACAACGGAAAAACCGGAACTAATCCGGCGAACTGGAATTATACCTGGACCAAAACACTTAAAAGACATATGGGGGAATAAGACTTTGGAAATATTTTATTTGGTTTTGTGTATTTCATCAAAAGAAGACAAGTCTTCTTATATAGGCTTAAGCAAGCCACTTACATTAATACTTCATTTAATACCATAAATTCAAAATTTAATGAAGTTATGTTTGTAACATGAAAACAAGTTGTACTTGCCACTTACATTAATACTTCATTTAATACCATAAATTCAAAATTTAATGAAGTTATGTTTGTAACATGAAAACAAGTTGTACTTTGTAAGTGAAAGACACGGTTTCAACAAATAAAATTTATGTTACAAATTCATTCAATAAATTTTCCAACACTATTTACAGCAAGGGATTAACAATTCATGTGATTAAGCATTATTTTGTGAATACAATTATTTTTATTGCAAATATTCGAGTTATATTCAAGTAATTTGTTCTCTAAAATCTGTTTCAATGTGTTCAAATCCATATTCTACACTGGCAATGAAAATGGTATTTACAGATTTTTTTTTTCTTGGTACAATATTTAAAGATTTTCAATACTAGTTACAGTGTTATATTTAAGGTTTTATGCTACAACAATTACTCAGACTAATAAAAATGTTTATTTATGTAGAAGGCCTCGTAAAAATTTCACTAGATGATGTATAATTTGTTTGTATGTCAATTGTGGTTATGTTTATGTCTATGGGATGTCAAGGGTATGACACGCAATGTCCACTGTACTCTTCGCACTATTGCGCAAGAGAAGATTTATAGTAGTGATAGGGCACATAGTAGTGGTATTGTAAACCGCCTTAGTGGGGCTCGGTCTAAGGGGGCTCGGTCTAAGAGGGCCCGTCTTTCTGGGGCTCGGCACAATGGGGCTCGGCCTTTTTATTTGTTGGGCTCGCGGTTTAACTGGAAAGTTTTATTGGTAGCGTGGCCCAAAGGAGTTCTATCTAATGATCTTATGGGGCTCGGATTTGTATGGGCCTAACATAGTGCCCATTGGGCTCAATCAATTTAATGTGCAGACACCAAAGCGTGGGGAACAAGCCAAGTGGTCATTAATAAATAGGTAAAACCAGAGAAACAAGAGGGAGGTCAAAAAACAAAACCCTAAAACATATACTGCGCTTTTCTTGAGACCATACTAACTTGAGCGTCGGAGGTCTACCGCCGGGACACTTCCCGACGTCTTTGCAGGTTTTCGGGGCTCAAGCGAAGAAGGATCAGGAAGGGCCGGTCGAAAGTGCAATAGCACATCAAGTAGTTTGGAGCTACCATATTTTTTTCTTTTATTCATTTGTTTTTTTTATTAAAAAAATCTATAACAGGCAATGGGAGATCCAATGAAAGAAAATGATCCAGGTTCAGGATATCAAAGTTGAACTATTGAAGAGAGCAATGAACTTCTTAAACTTATGGTTGATGTTTCTAATCGTGGTTGGTGTGATCACGCTGGGAAAATAAATAAGATAACTGTCGAAAGACATATACTAAAACCTTTGAATGAAAAGTTAGGGATCGCCTGGACTTACAGTCAATATACAAGTCGAGTGAAATATTTTAAGAAACAATATGCCAAATACAATGAGCTTATGCGGCATAACTCTGGCTTTGGATGGAATTCTACAACAAAGTTCTTCACTGCAGATGATGAAATTTGGAAAGATTACTTTAAGGTTAGCCCTAACAATCCTCCCCACTTATATAAATAATATATAAATCGTACCTAGTTCGGTACAACTTACAATTATCTTTTTTTCTTTGTTGTACCAGTCTCATCCTAGAGATTCAAGCTTACAGACAGACCCTCATCCAGACTATGAAGATCTGAAGATTGCAGTTGGTAATGGTACAACTAGAGGGACACACTCTATTGCCATAGAAGACGATATTATAGAAGAGAATAGAGAAAGTGGGAGCTTGCTAGATGATTTCACATATGATCCCTCAAGTGATGCTTTTATTCCGTCAAGTACCCAAGATCTCTTTCCTCCACTATTTCCTGAGAACTCTTTCATGCCAACCTCAACTCAACAACCATGCTCGGAGCCCCGTCCACCTCCAAGAAAACGAGCTAAAACATATTCTCAAACTAAGGTTGCCTCTTTTGATCCTAAAGATACTCAAGATCTCGTAGAAAAGCTTACATCAAATGTGGAAAAGTTTACTCGTGTCATTGAATCAATTGACACAAAAGAGTACAACTGTTGGGATCTGATTAAGGAGATTTCAGGCTAAACTTCTGAGAATCGTTTCAAAGCTCTTGATTTGCTTAATACTAAAGCAAAAAAGTCAGAGTTTTTTAACATATCACCGGATGAACGAGCTGAGTGGATAGCATATAAATTGAAATGATTTATATATAATAAGATTATTATGAACTTCTAGGTCTATGTTCATTGTTTTGAGTGGGTTGGACTTGGTTTTTATTTCATGAATTTTATGTTATTGGAGTATTGAACAATATGAATTTTCTGGCTTGTTTGATGTTGGAATTATTTCTTTTTATTTCATTGTTTAATATTGGAGATTATGCGATGATTTGATAGAATGAAAAATTATAAGTGTGACAAAAACAAAAAATATAATTATTGTACATCTTGGTTATGAGGTTGATTAGAGAGAATAAAAAATATTACAAATTGAATTATTTTTGTTAAAAAAATATAAATAAACAAACAATATAATAAAAAATTCACATTGCTCCTTGTTCAAATTGATTTTTTTTTTTTTTTTTTTTTTT